AAGCTCTCCTCCCCGGAGTCTCTTTCTTCTGCCTGGGAATGGAATGGGGGGGGGGGGGTTATTGATTAAAACTTTTGCCACCCGGTGCTGCGGCTGAGATGAAGCCGCCAATCTCCCACTTGCACCCCCACCCGTGGCGGCAGCGCCTCCCCCTCCGCTTGGAGCACCTGAGCTGGGCACCGCATTACTCCTGCTGCCTCACCCTCCGCCGTGCTTTTGAGGAGCCATGAGGCCGTGGAAGCCAGTAGGAAGGCGGCAGAGGGGGCGGGAGCAGGAAACAAAAGGCCCCATGGCTTCTCAAAAGCACGGCGAAGGAGGCAGCGGCGGTGGTAGGAGTAACGCGGTGCCCAGCTCATGTGCTCCAAGCAGAAGGGGAGGCAGCACTGCCGCTGCCACAGGCAGGGGCGCCAGCGGGAGCTTTGGCGGTTTCACCTCAGCCGCAGTGCCGGGCGGCAAAATTTTAAATCAAGAACACACACACACACACACACCATCAATGGTGTCCTGCTTAACCAATTTTAAAATCTGGTCACTTTACTTTTACCGTATGTATGTTTATAAGAATTTAACTTTCAACTGCGAAATAGTTTCACTTCACTGGTTTATGACTTGCACTATCTCTATGTCAATATATACCTATCCCGTTTTCTTGTTTTCTCCCCTTCTATGCCTTCAAATTACTTTGTAACATCCAAAGAACTTATGAGAAAGATTATACCAAATTAAGCCAACTTTGTAATTCTTGGAGATAAAATTATTGCAATTTGTTCTTCTCCAAATTGAAATTACCCAACTTTGGCCGGGAATGGAGAACATTTTCAACCTCGAAAACATATATTACTAGTTATTTTGACATACTATTGTTACACAGCACATTTTTTCACATACAGTTAGTCAGATTATCAAGAGTACTATGCAATCTTGGGGACAATCACTGGGAAGGAGGAGAAGTTTTCATTGCTTTCTCTTTCCTCCCAGTTATTTTAGTGCAGATTTCTCGCTGGCCACCTAGCAGCAGTCTTCAATGAGGCATCTTTCTCCCATGTAACGACCATGCTCACAGCAATATACCATATTTTTCGGAGTATAAGACGCACCAGAGTATAAAATGCACCAAGATTTTGAAGAGGCAAATTAGAGCACTTGTAGAATGCTCCTGGGGGCACTTGTAGAGTGCTCCTGGGGGCTGGAAGAAAAAACGGCCTGTATTTTGCTCACTTTTGTCCTCCCCAGTCCCCAGGAGCATTCTGGAAGCATCCTAAAGGCTATGCACGGCCATTTTTGCAAAGGGGGCGGGGTTTCAGGAGCCAAAAAAATGCTGTATTCAGTGTATAAGACACACCCAGATTTTCACCCTCTTTTTTGAGGGAAAAGGGTGCCTCTTATACTCCGAAAAATATGGTAATTAGATTTTCAATTAGCATTACTAGAGCAGGAATGCAAACAAGGCCAGGGTTTTTCAAATCAGGTTCCACAGAACCTGAGGTTCTATGAGCACTTGAAGGGATTCCACAAGAGACTAAGCCCAAAAAATATTAAATAACTGTAATGTATAAATGTGTGTAAATAAAGTATTATATGCACCTGTTCGGTTTTTTCAGTTTTCTATTCTTAAAGTTTTGTCTCCTGATAAAGATTTTATTTTTAACAAACAGGTTTCAGAACTGAAAAAAATTTGAAAAACCTGCTTGAGAAAATGTGGGCTACATTTCTCCTTGTGCTCAGTCAGCATGGTTAATACCAAGAAGTTGTGAGAGTTGCAGGCCAATATATTTGGAGAAGACTCTTTTAAAGAATGTGAAGCTTTCTGGGCATTCTACGGTATAATGCTACATCAATGCTCTTTATTATTACAACTAACATCTGCAAAGGAATATTCTATAGAATAAATTTAGGGCAGTTCAGATAGAGAAATGCTGCGTGTTAAAATCACAGAGAAGGCTGCCTGTACCTTTCTTCCAAGAAAACACAAAGTTGTTAAAAGATTATTCTCCCCAAAAGTCTCAGGTAAATGAAAACAATTCAAGATCTCAAATTAATAAGAAGTATATTAGGAGTATTCTCCCACTTATCATCAACAGAATCTAATCCAGTACAGTCCTGTGTGCATTAAGTGTTTTTGAGCTATTATTCTGTTGTCCTGTCATTACTATCATTGAATGTCCACTTTTTCTTTTTAAAGAAGGAGAAATGAAGTGGCTATACTAAATGAAAGTACATTAAGGATCTTTAATTACAGAACTTTCCTCCAGCAGTAAGGTGATTCTGAGGGTCCAAAATACTTAACAGATGCAGTATTTAGGTAAGGTCCCTTAATTATGGACAGCGCTTGACAATTCAAAGAGGCCCTACTATCTGAAATAAGATCCCCTTGTAATGTTCAATGCATTTTTACCTATGTTCATAATAACGGCGTAGTGATTAACACAGCAGTTTGGGGTGTGTTTTTTAATCCAGACTGGGAATGAATTTCCAAAAAAATATCTGCTATTTGAAGTATGAACGAGACTGGTTTGATTTGTGCATAGAACAAAACCTTCCTCCCCTTAGATTATTTTTAATATGATTCTTACACTGAACTCCAGAGAACATGGGCCTTTTGCCCTTCAAGGTAGACACCCAGAACAATCCATAACCTTCTGTTGCCCTTTGCAAACACAATCAAATATACACTACACTGACTGTTGCTCTGGTTCTTTCATCCTATTTGGACGTATGATGACAGCTGCTCCTTCCAACTAGTCTTACACAGTGGAAATTTTGACTGCTCTTCTCCCAACACATTTTTACCAAGGAACACCTACCATTCACAATTCTGACAATCCTATGTGCCTTTACTCCAAAATAAGACCTCTTATATGCAATGTGGTTTACCTGAGGCAAGCAATATCATTTCTGCAGTATTCTTTCCTCTCCCCTCCCCACTCCACAAAGGAAGGAAAGGTTGATGGGTGTGAGTTAAGTTTCTTCCATTTTCTACCATAGGGAGATAGGAGATGGAGGGGCATAGCAGTCTCTCATAATCAAGGAAGCTTTAAGAATACAAGCAATAAATACATTTTATATGATGGGAAATTTTTATAGAAATCAATGGAGATTCCCTGCTGTTTCCCTGTTTAGGCTGTAAAAAAGACTTGGGTGACCGATGCTAAAAATCTGCTGAGAGGAGGAAGGGAAACATCTTAGCTCAGTAGTAAAAAGCTTATTCTCTGATTGCAAAGATCCAAATCCTGCTGCTTTCAGCTTTCAAAGACTGCGGACAACAGAAGCAGGGAAAGATGCCAGAGGAGGGAACAGCTTCATACACGCGCAAGACGCCTTGGGCGAAAGAGCCTCCCGTTCCCTTGGATGTGCCGCACGGACAGCTGCGCTTGCTCCCGCCCTGTTACCGGACATCTAACCCGCAGCTTCACGGAAACCCAGAACAGGCTTCGGGAATCTTGCGGGGAATCGACCCCTACGATCGGCTCTGCGACCCCGGACTCTCGGCCACTGGAAATCACAGGGGAGGCGGCGACAACCCTCCCTGTCTCGCTCGCTTTCCTGATCTCTCCAAAGGCAACTTACCCTCGCGGTGACCTTATAGACCGTGTATCCCCGCGGGTGGCGCTTGGGCTCGGTGACCGTGTAGAATCGGGCCACCTCCCCGCCTCGATTTCGCGGGGAGATCATCCTTGCCGCCGTGGCTGATGGTGCAACAACGGCCCTGTCCGAGGTGCCCGAGGTTGCCGCTTTCCCGGCGCCGGGTGGGCGCCGCCTCTCAGAGCTGCCAGTCAATCGATGCACTCCCGGGTCAGGCCCGGACTGGAGGCGGAAGCAGCTGCGGAAGTACTGTGGCGGTACCGTTTCCCTCGTAGTAACTCAGCCAGCGGAGAAGACCGGTGTCTTTTCCTTCTAGTAGCAAGTCGATCCGTATCCCGCCACCCCCACCCTTAAGGCCTGCAGACAAGAAAAAAAAGGACCGGATGGATCGTTGCAATGATGTTAAAACCAAGCAGTAAATGTCGGGGCATAAACAACTGTGGCGCTTTTTGGGTATCGGGGGGAGAAAAAGGAAAAGGCGCTCGGTTTTGCCTGGCATTGCCCAGCCCACTCTGGTAGGGAATTCAAAAGTTGAATTCAGTGAGGTTTAGACTCATTAAGATTTGTTTTCATCGTAGTCGTCGGTGTGCAATGTAAATGCGTGTTTGTGGCGTTTTTCTAATGTTGCTGTATGTTATTCGAAATGGGAAGGATGTAAGACAGAATCAGGAGAGAAAGAGGTTTTTTCCCCTAAATCCACTTATTAAGTAAGTAAGCAAACTCTTTATTACGATCAAAGACCAGCAATACACATTAGTTTTTACACTATATTAAAAAATACTAACATTAANGAAGTTTTAGTCCATAGATTATGGAGAATAGTCAAAGAAAAAAAAATAGAAGAAGGAAACTTAATCCGTTTGTTTTTAAATGCTTGCATAAATTCCATCCGTAAAGATAGCATTTAAAAGGTAGGATAACCCACTGTTCAAAACCAGTCCAAATTTAATTCTGCCACTTATTTCTTCTGTTCTCCAATTTAAATTAATTTTTAAGGTTTTTTTTATAGGCAGTCACTTTTAAAACAGTAAAAATTCCTCACCAGCTGAAACTACTTTCTCATTCCATATCCTTCCATTTTGGAGCCGCCCCGACTTCATCAGCCATTTGGCTGGATTTTTTGTCACCGGCTTGAAGAGCTTCTCTTGGATCAATCAGAGACTTTGCAATATCCCTGTGATCAGCAAGATGTATTCTTCCTGTTCACCATCTCTGCAGGACAGTTTAGGTCCGTTTGGACCACCCAGGGGCAAAAGTATCGACTGCATGTCATGTCGTTGCGACTTTGGCTCCTCCTTGCATTTTTACGTGCTTTCGAACTGCTAGGTTGGCAGAAGCTGGCACAAGTAATGGGAGCGAACTCCGTTACGCAGTGCTAGGGATTCGAACTGCCGAACTGCCGACCTTTCTGATCAACAAGCTCAGAGCCTTGCTACTGAGCCACTGCATCCCTACCTATACTTACAGCCTTTTTTTTTTAGATTCAGGATTGGCACCCTGAATCATGAGGTAGGCACTAACACATCTGAGCTGATTTGTGTTTCTACTCCCATTCTGGCAGCTGAAGCAAGAAAGCTCATATACCAGGAATACCTCTGCCTCTATAAATAGATTTCACAGAATGAATGCAAACGTCAGCTGTCAAAGTGGTTTAAGAAGAGGTGGCGGCACTGATGTTTGCTTCTTATGAGTTTATTTGGGGGGGGAGGCATTTTGGTGTCAAATGTTACTTATCCCTCAGGGGTTCAGGGGTGTCCAGCCTTGGCAACTTTAAGACCTGTGGACTTCAACTCCCAGAATTTCCCAGCCAGCCATGCCGACTAGGGCATTCTTGGAGTTGAAATCCACAAGTCTTAAAGTTGCCAAGGCTGGATACTGCTGAGGCACCTCACTGTTTTCTTTGATAGATGCATCTGAATAAATCCTTTGTGTGATGTGTGAGGATTTGGCTAGGGAAAAAGTGTCTTTAGCCTCTGCCAGCCCCCTAAATCTCTCACACCTGGTGGCACCTACGGTATAAAGCAGAAATGAGCCTTGAGATTTAAGGTCTTGAAGTAGAAAATTGAGATGGAAAGGGGGAAATTCGTATGAGAGAGAGTGGGGGAGGGTACCAGTCAGTATTCATCCCAGAGCCTTCTATTTTAATTACAGGTAGTCCTCGACTTATGACCAATCGTTTAGTGATCATTTAGTGAAAATTTGGAGGCTTGGCAACCAGCATTTGTTTTCAATGGTTGCAGAATCTAAGGGTCATGTGGTCACCATTCACCATCTTCCCAGCTGGCTTTCAACAAGCAGTCAATGGGGGAACATGGCTTCACTTAACAACTGCATGATTCACTTAATGTCCATGGCATAAAAGGTCGTAAAAGCACACATTTCACTATCATTTTGCTTAATGAGGGAAATTCTGATCCCAATTATGGTTGTACGTCAAGGTCTACCTCTACTAGAAAAAAACCTTGAATTTAGAAGCCAAAGGCCATGGATGCGGCTTCCCTGCTTCTAAGTCTTTTTGTCAAACGCAGCAACTTTAATGCGGTCTTCAATTCCTAGAATCACCCAGCTGGCATGTTAGAAGGAGAAACAACTATCTCAATGCTGCTTGAAACTCGGAAGTGAATGAAGCAGCCATAGATACAGTAGATTGCAAGCTTTTGCCTTCAATCCTATTTGTCAAATTTTAAAAGGTCCTAGACTTTCAAACAAAGGATGCCAGATGCTGGATCTGGGTTCCAAAAAGCTGTGCCATCATAAGATGGCAGAAAATAGCTAAACGTTTGCAGTACAGGAGGTCCTCGAGTTATAACCATTTAGGGACCATTTAAAGTTACAAAAGCACTGAAAAAACTGACATTCACACTTACAACCATTGGATGTCCCCATGGTCACATGATCAAAATTCGCCTGCTTGGCAACTGGTTCATATTTATGACAGTTGCAGTGTGCCAGGATCATGTGATCATCTTTTGCGACCTTCTGACAAGCAAAGTCAATGGGGAAGCCAGATTCACTTAACAACCGTGTTACTAACTTTATATTCCATGAGAAAATTTTGGTGAGCCGCAGAAAAATCTGGACATTATTTGTATTTTTTATGTTTATTACCATTGTGATTCACTTACAACTGTGGCAAACCAGGTCTTGGCCAATAAAGAATTCTGTTCCGCTCTGTTCCGTCCTACCTTATCCCATCCCTTCCCCAAGATTAAAGATTTATTTGCAAGAGAACAAAAAATGTGAGAAGGCTTTTAATATTTGCCCAGAAGATATCTCTGCCCTCAGCCCATCTCATCCATATAGACCTTTGATTGTATTTCATTAAGAAAGTGCATGCAGTAAATCCTTTTATTTTCACAACAGGCTTTTAAGGTAAGTGAAAAAATCAATCTAGTGTGGTTCAATAAAGGTTTGAATCTAGTTTGCTGGAGGTTATAATATAACCTTTTAACACAGGGGCCCTCAAAAAGTCGCAATACCATAACCCCATAAAACTATGAATTATTTTGTGCAACCAATCACATAAGCAAAACTAAATGATGAATAACTAATAGCCAAGTAGCTAAATGATCAAGGCAATTACTCTGTCTGGCAGAAGTTCTGGCAGATGGCTCGACCCATCTGGCATTTAGCCATCCCTCAAAATTGGCAAGCTACAACATTCCTGTGTGCAAACTGGGACACCAAGTCATTTTTGGGTTTTGCTACAGGTTGACTCAGGCCAAGTAAGAGTGAGTTTTAACAATGCTTGGGGTTTGTGTGTGCAAACCTTAGCAGCAAGCTCACAATTCTAGATTCCTGCTTGCTACTATAACTAGGGGAGCACACTAGGGGGTGGAGTGTGGTTTTTAATGGGTTTTTTTAATTGTAGGGTGGATTTTTTTAAAATGTAAGCCACCCTGAGTCACCTATATATGAATTGGGTGGCTATATACATCTGTTTACTATAACTAAATAAAAATAAACTAGGAACAAGCTTTGACCTCTCTCCAGTTTTGGTTGCTTGTGTGCAAACCAGAACATTGTCAAAACTTTGCCAAACAACGTTGACATCACCACCTCCTTCTGGTGGCTCACCTTTGAAAATTGTTGCTGTAACATCACACTAGGCTGGTAATTGCTCGTGGCACTGTCCTTACCAGCACACTCTTAGCAACATAGCCTAGAAGGCATTTGCTGGAAGGGAAGGGGACCACTGAAGACTAAGGTGACCAGACGTCTCACTTTTGGCGGGACAGTCAGGATTTTTAATAATTTGTCCCGTGTCCCATGCCGTGTTCAAAAAGTCCCGATTTTCCAAAAGAAAGAAAAGATGCAGAATCATCAATTTTAAAAAGGACGCCGTTAAAAAAAAGTTTTTATTTCTCTGAAGTGTCGTTCCCAATGTGGCCTTTAGAGAGCAGTAGTTTCCCTCCCTCCGCTCGGCTCGCTCGCAGCGCCTGATGAGGGGCGAGGCTCCCTCCCCTCCTGTGCATGCGCGTGCCAACGCGTGCCGTTTTTGCGACAGCTGTCCGGTGGACTCGGGCGGGGGGGGTTTGTGGCGGCGGCAGCATGGCAAGGAGGAGGCTTGGTCCCAGGCCAAGCGGCTCAGCCGTCGGATGTTTTTTTTTTTTTTTGTCTCTTCTCTTGGGCCATGCGGTGCAAGCCGCCGTCAGCAACCTGGTCCGGGTGAGCCGAGGGGAGGCAGATGGGGATCCGGTTGGGAGAGGCTGGCGATGGGAGTGGCTTTTGAAAGGGGTGGGGGCATTGGGGGAAGGAAATCAGGGGAAGCCTGCTTTGCAACCGCCAGCGGTCCCATCTAAACTTCTTGGTTCGCCCTCTCCGGCCTGGAGCAGACCGTTCTCGGGAAAGCCGGGTTCTTCCTCCTTCCCTACATTTTCTTCCCTTCCTCCCTTTCCCCTTCCTCCCTTTCGCCTCCCTCCCCTCCTTCCTTCCTTCCTTCCTTCCCCTCCCCTCCCTCCAGCCCAGAGGAGAAGCAGTTGCTTCTGGAACTTCTTGAGAAATTTCCTTGCCTGCTTTTCTCCTTCTCAAACGCCTTCCAATGACTGGCCAAGCTCTCCTCCCCGGAGTCTCTTTCTTCTGCCTGGGAA